TTCTATGATTCTATGGTTCTGAGCCTGCTCCAGACTCCTCAGCACTGCAAGCAGAATCAGCTTTTCATCCCCCAGAATGAGTAACCAAAGATGGGACCCATATCACTCTTAGATGTCTCCAGGTCACAGGTGAGCTCATCACCTGGGCTTGTGCTGCAGGTAGGCGCGGGGACAAGCACAGCCATGGACCGATCCCACTGACTTGCCTTTGTTGTCACCTGCAGGATGCGGTGAACCATTTTCTTAAAAGGGCCTGCAACTAACTCCCCACGGGCTAAAAGGAGGTGGAGACAACAGCTCAGACACAGACATTTGGTGCCAACACATATACAGACAAATCCCTCTAACATCACTTTATTCCGTACATTTAAAAAGCGACCCCTCTTGCAGGAGTGTCTTTTCAGTGGAAGTCTTGTTCAACAGGTAGAGAGTGAGGATGAAAATCGACAATCACAAGTTGCAATTGGGGTAACTCTGACCAAACATAAAGGGTTAATTCTTCCCCTTGAGAGACATGCAGCACAGGGACAGTGGTCCAGAGAGGAAACGAGATCTCCACCCTTGGAGATCCTACACAAATCAGCTGAACAAGGTCCAAAGAAAGACACCCAAGGCAGCTTTGTGCTTAGCCCTGCTGTAAGCAGGTGGTTGCAACAGAAACCTCCACAAGTTCCTTCCAACCAAAGTGCTTCTGTGAGTTTGAACTCCTGAGGTCCCCTAAAAAAAGCCTTCTCTTACCCCCTCCCCTTCATCAGGGCCACATTTTGAGCCACGTCCCAGGACCCAGCCAGACCCAAGGGTGGACTCTTATCCCCTCAAATGATGCCAGTTGAAATGTGAAGATAGGAATCTTCTCATCGACACTGAAAAATGACACCTGTCCCTCTTCATAATCCAGAGAGACCCGGATCCGCTTGGGAGTCTGGATTTCAGGCAGTAGAGTTCGATTAGGGAATGTGAGAGCTTGGAAATGCCCTGCCCACTGCCCCACTGCCCAGATGCCCTCCTCTGGTTTAAACTCAATCTCGCCCTTCCTTTTCACATCTTCTCTAGAGACCCCCACGGTCCATCCTCCTCCATCCACCGCCTCCACCTCCCAGTAGTATCTCCCCGAGGTGAAGCCTTCACGGCCCAGCACACAACGCCACGGGTTAAATCTCTCGGGGATATCGGGGATGTCCTGCCGTGTGTCTTCTCGTTTCACACTTTTGCAGTCATCAGACAGGACAAGGTCGCAGTGGGCTGTGTCTGGATCCAGAACCACCTTCACTGCGGGACAGATAGAGTCAACACCCCAGGGCAGATCTTGCCCCAGGACAGGTCTTTGCTGGGGCCGTACGGAAGGGGAAGAACAGGTACGAGCTATAGTGGGAGGCTGTGGCGTGGAAGCTGCACAAGGTGACAGTATTAGTGCAAGGAACAGAAAATGAAGCAGAGAGATGACATCACACAGAGAGGCAAGAGGATGTCCAGCTGAAGAATCTCCAGGCTGAAGAATTCCCCATGTTTCTAAAACGTGGCCAGCAACTGCTCACTGAGGACCAGGACTCCCCCTGAGTTGCCTGAAACTGTTCATTCACCAAATGAACAGGGGTCTGAGTGCTGCACTTCCTCTTGCAAAGCGAGCGTTAGCAGAAGCATCCCTGGTCCCACCAGCATCACTGCAGGAGGAAAACTACCAGGAAGGGAGTTTAAAGCAGGGAGAATGATTCAGCATCCTGAAAGACCAAACTTTAATTACCTTCTTCTATAGGGACTGCATATCTTCTCCATGCTTTAAAAAATAATTAAAGCACACAGATGAGAGGCAATCTGCACACACTTGTACAGGATTAACTCAGAATAATGATATGCCAGTGTAGCTGCACGTTTTCTGAACTGTTGCTACATTTGTGAAAGTCATCTCACAGCATGTAGCTTCAAGACTTCAATGTCTAGCTGAAAGAAAGGGCTCCATCCATTTTCTACAAATATAATCATGCTGTCTGTCCTGATTCAGGCACATATTTATGGTCTGTTTGTGCTTTCTTCAAAAACTGGAAGAGTTTTTTTCTTTGTGTAGGAGCACTACGGAGAATAGTTTAACACCACATACAGAGCAAAGGAAAACAGCGTTTCTGAAATGAGTTCAGTATTTCCTACCTCTTCTTTTCCCAAATGGAAAACCAAAGCCAGGGTTTGCAAAACCCAGATGAGAAAATAGCCCAGCTGGAAAGTCTCACATGCAGTGAGGAGAATGACACTCACCAAGTTCTTCAGCTTGCTTCTCTGAAAAAGATAAATCAGCACATAGAGGTTGTGAGATTGGGCTATAACCTCCCCCATAGCTGCCTGCATGTGCCAGAAGGCAGGTTCGGCCACCACCTGGCAATGCAAAGCCCAAGTGATAGTGCAGGTTGTCCTGCCCAAATCTGGGTCAGGAAAAGGTCTTTGGGAGGTCCCTCACCTACAAGGGGACCTGTCACAGGGCACTCTCACCCTTCCCAGGCTAATGCTGGAGACATCTTCCCACAACCCAAGGCACCATCTTCACTGAACTTTTTTTTATTCTCAAATCACTCTCTCCTTTCCCCTTCATCCCCCAACTACTTTATGGTTCAATTCATACTTTAAAAGTGGAGAAAAAAAACCCCAAACCAAACCAACACCCTATATAGACTCTGCAAAAGATCATTTGTAGGGAAGAGAAAGCGACTCACCGATTTCTGCATCACGGTCCCCTGCACAACAAACAGAAACACACACAGGTTACTATATGACACAGCCCCTTCCCTGGGACCCCAGCTAAAGGAGGTTTCCATAATCTTCCCCTAAAACCCAGTAACTTTTCAGTACTATTTCACTACTTAAATTGAGAGTGTTAAAAAGCACTGACAGCCACTCGAGGAAAAAATCCTAATGACTTTTCAGAGTGAATGTTCACATTATAAGGGAGTCAGGGGAGGGGGAAGTAGAGTATCTGCCTAAAAAGAACATTCAGACAGAATGAGAGGATGAATGAAAAAGCTTTCATAGAGGATTTCACCGGGAAGACAGGGAGCAAGACTTACGTAGCGCTGCCTCTTGCATCACTGCAAAGCAAAACCAGAAGAGAGCATCACCACCAAGGCCAATTAATCCTTTTTTCACCGATAAACTTGTTGGGGTTGGGAAGAGGCTAAAATTTCTCTTAGTGGAAAAGCTTCAGCCCAGGAGATCATGTCCACCCTCCCTGAACCCCCCTTGGGGACAGTGCTGTGGCAGCGGTGAAGGGGTAGGTGTGCATCAGCAAGGGAGGAGCGAGTGGTTACATTTCACCTTCTGTCCTACTTAACCATCCTGCCCCTGGTTTTTTTTGGTGGTGAGGCCCCTGTTAAATGAAATGTGCTACCCCAAGCTTCCTCCAGCTTTGGGAAAAACCTTGACAGTCCTTTGAGAAGCGAAGTTCACTGTTGGTACAACATCTGTTCACTCTTTCTTTGGTTCTGCGATTATCTTCCTTAAAATTACAACATCATTTCATAATTTGATTTCATCATTTTCTGTAGCTGGTAACCAAACCATTTCCCTCCCTCACACCCCAGCAGTGTGTCCCATGCATTCTTTCATTTGAGGGAATTCTCCAGTTTCTGGAAAATGGAAAGTAAAGCTTACCTATTCTTTTCTCATGCTTTCCTATGAAAGAAAGAAAGAAATGTTAACAATTTTTAAAATCATCCCTTCCAAAGAGCAGTGATTAACCCACAGCAGGAGTTACAGCCACTTGCAAGACAGAAGGGCCATGGGGTCTGGAAGTGCTGCGCTGCCTGCACGACCCCCTGCCTCCATCTTCTTTTGGTAAGAAGTAGGCAATTTCAATTTATTTACCCTCTGAGGGGTCTTTTGGAGGGAAAGGAAGCCGTGACAGGCCCCCAACAGTACAAGGCTGTTTTTGCAGGGCCAGGCAAATTATTAATCCATTTCTGCAGACAGCACCCATGCTCAGTGGGGCAAGGAACAGCGGGCTCACACTGCTTTAATGCCCATTTCCCTCTCTGCTAGCCTTTTTTGTTGGAGAAACCACCTTGCTTTTCTTGCCAGAAATTAAATCTCTGGGTCTTTAAGTTCCCTGGCACTGTGTGGGTGTCTGAGACACCGAGACAAGACTCCAGGCATTTCTCAAACCCTGAGGTGGGGTCAGTCAAAACCCGAGGTGGCTGAACAGGATAGCCATCCAGCCCCCTTCCCCAAACACTGCACCAGCATGATACCTTTAATTTTAAATAGATAAATAGTGATCATAAGGAGAGCGACCACAACAACCAGGACCACGCCGAGGGCAGTCATCCATGGATGGGCGTTTTGGAAAAAGGGATCTGAAAAATAAAATGCCCAAAGGGGTTAAGTTACTCTGCAAGTAGCAATGGGAAGTAGAATCATAGAATCACAGAATGGTTTGGGTTGGAAGGGACCTCAAAGATCATCTAGTTCCAACCCCCCTGTCATCGGCAGGGCAAGTAGATTATTTCATACAAGCTCATCCCAAGCAGATCTGAATCCCATCGAGGGGGAAAATCAGCTCCTGACTCTAAACCACAAACTGGCAAAAAATAACATGGAAAAAACAAACAAACAAACAAAACCCTGGCAATTTAGCACTTGTCTGAGGCTGATGACGTTTTGCCTGCATACATTGTGAGGGATTTTTAAAGGAAAAATGGATTTCTAACCAAATTATTTTTAGTTAAATCATGCTTTCTTCTCCTTTGGAAAAAAAAAAAAAATTGGAGGGCAATATAAAAGCATGGTAACATATGCGTCAGTTGGAAGGGACCTCAAAGATCATCTAGTTCCAACCCCCCTGCCATGGGCAGGGCAAGTAGATTATTTCATACAAGCTCATCCCAAGCAGATCTGAATCCCATCGAGGGGGAAAATCAGCTCCTGACTCTAAACCACAAACTGGCAAAAAATAACATGGAAAAACCAACCAACCAAACAAAACCCTGGCAATTTAGCACTTGTCTGAGGCTGATGATGTTTTGCCTGCATACATTGTGAGGGATTTTTAAAGGAAAAATGGATTTCTAACCAAATTATTTTTAGTTAAATCATGCTTTCTTCTCCTTTGGAAAAAAAAAAAAAATTCGTAGGCAATAATAGAAGCATGGTAACATATGCGTCAACAGCAATACCCCTGTGCAGAGCAGTATCACCAGGAGAAAGGTATGGGCCTCCCAGGGAAATAAAGTCTCCCAAAATTGTTCATTCCCAAAGTAAAAAAAAAAAGACTAGGATACCACTGAACAGCATGGAACACTGAGGTGCAGGTTGGTGTCTGGTTCACCACTGCATCTCTGGTTTGATATATTCCCTGCCCCAAATCAATCTTTCAGTAAAAACGGAGGCTCTCTGTGTGACAAGGAAAAAGTAAAAGTATATTCAATATATGCAGATGCTAAAAGGAGACACAAATATTTATTTCTCATACCAAACCATAGAATCACAGACTGCTGTGGGTTGGAAGGGGCCTTAAAGATCATCCAGTTCCAACCCCCCTGCCATGGGCAGGGACACCTTGCACTAGACCAGGTTGCTCCAAGCCTCATCCAGCCTGGCCTTGGACACTTCCAGGGATGGGGCATCCACAGCTTCTCTGGGCAACCTGTCCCAGTGCCTCCCCACCCTCTCTGGGAAGAACTTCTTCCTAATCTAATCTAAACCTCCCCTAAAACTCTAAACCAGCAGAAGAGTATTTCACAGCAGGTGAGACGAAGGGCATGTGTTGGTGTCTCCTTTTTTGTTTGGTTCCAGTGTTATGAATGTTTGTATTTAACCCAGGTGCCTATAGAAACTCTGCTACAATGAGGGTTGTCTTTCCCGCCCCTAAACCCACACTTCAGGACAGCACTGGTGAATTTTGGCAGCGTACCTGCACAAGCGCTGCCCAAAGCTGCAGCTGTTCGCACACACGTCGTGCAAAATACACTCAATGCACTGAACGCGCAGCGCATCGGACATCTGCCGGCGCGCTTTCCGAGCGCAGCTCGATCAAGGGATGGTAACTGGGCAATGTCCTCGTCCCCTGCTCACCTGATATGTATAAAGCTGCTCCCTGTTCTTGGCTGTGCAGGGCATGTCGGACCGTGCAGGAGAGTTTCTGGTTCATGCCCCTGGTGAGGATGATGCTGCTTTCCGCTGTGAAGAGGCTGCTCTTGTCCTGGGTAACGCTTTCTGAGAGGGATGGCAGCTGCCGCCCATGGGGATCTTGCCACAGCACCTGGGGCTGTGGGTACCAGCCGGCCGAGCGACAGGCCACCTGGATCCCCCTGTCCTGGTAGTGCTCCAGCACGAGGAGTGGAGCAGAACCACTGGCTGCAGGAAAACAGAGATCCTCAGGGTGAATCGGTGGGATGCTGGATATTAGGGGAATAAAGTGGCCTGGCTGTTCCTCTCCCTGACAAGAAGGGATGAACTTCAAGGACAAATCCCAGCCTTTTTCTTGAGACAAGTTTCACCTAGAGTCAGGACAATTCTTGCAGCCTTTTTCACACAGGTCAAAGATCTGCGCTGGAAGCTACCGCTGCAGCAAAATACTCTGCAGCCCTGATATGAAAATACAAAAGCATGAACCAAGACATTCTTACTATATTACACAATGCCAATTTTTTTCTTACACCCACTTATATGAAAAAACCAATATCAAGAACGCTTCTGAAGTAGGTATCTCACAAGCTCCTTACCGCTCGGTTGGCAGTTTTACCTCTCTGAGACGTTCTTGGCATTTTCAATCACAGGACTTGCTTAATAAAACCCTATTTCCAAAGCAACCACTTGAAATTGTGCCTTGCTGAATGGCGGGATTCCAAGTAAGACAGAGACTCCTGCCTAATATATAAAGATCAATATGCTTTGCTAGAGATATATCGTAGTAGCAACCAAAAGGAAAAGCGAGTAACGATGAACCAATCAGCAAGGAAAGATACGCAGGATAGCAATGCACCAGTTCATTACTGTACAGGCAGCGATGAAGAAAAGGATGCATCACCAATTACCACCTCAAAACCATCATCCGGGTTCACAGTTCATCCGGGAAGCCCCTCAGCAGCTGGCCCCTGGAGAACTGCAGGAATTGGGAAAGTCCTACGCCGTGTGACCACACATAGGTGAGGCCTCAGGAGTCAGCTCGAGGGTCTCCCGCTTTTATAGCACGTAACACCTTATGTAAGTGTTTTCGGCACAAACCCTGTGAACCTGCAGACTGCTATGCTCCCATTATCAATCCCCCCCGGAACACTGGCCAGGTGCCCAGGATGAGACCGAGAATCGAGCCACGTCCAGTCGGCACACAATATGATATTGTCCAGATGTTCATGTTACCATTCGCAGAGGTGGAGAAGTGTAGAAGCAGTAATCAATCATCACGAGCAGTTAGCAACTGTTTTCACTACAAACTGCTGCTGGGAAGCAGGATTGGGAAGAAGAGCGCTGGAAAGTAAATTAAAGGTACCAAGGACATGGGCTACTGACCTGTCACCTGCAGCTCCACCACAGCCTCGTTGTAATCCAAGTCATGCTGAACAAAGCAGGTGTAATTCCCTCTGTCAGACAGTTGGACATGGAAAATTTTCAAGTCCACTCTGCCCTTGCTGAGGCCGTCCTTCAGCAGCTCGGTGCGCCCTTGGTATTGAAGCATCTGCTCCCCATACTGGTCCTGGCCCCCCTTGTAGCGATGCACAAAGGGCAAGAAGTATTCCCGAAACCAGTTCACCTCAATGTCCTGCGTGCTCTGCTCTGGGGAGAAGCAGCAGGGCAACACCACGTCCTTGCCCATGGCCACAGTGATGGGGCCAGAGGGTCCCGTCACGTTGAGAAGAGCTGGGAGAAACCCCCGGGGGAAGAAGAAATAACCATGAGTTTGCTGTGGAGACCGAGCTCAGAAAACGAGCAGATCCCGCTCTGTGTGGTTCATGTGTTGCCGTACTGTGTGATCCAGTCGGGAGCACAACCCCGCTGGGGGAGTCGAGGCGTGGAGGGGAGGGTTGAGAGGGGCACCCCTGCGATGCAGCGGGGTGAGTGGGCTGGGGCCAGGCCACCATGCATTCCTCTGCTTCCCTGTCCTGCTCTACTGTGGAAGTCCTGCAGATCCCTGAAAGCTGATTTGTTCTCAAGGATTAAGAAGGAAGGAACGGGCTGGAAGGTTTCTGGGTATGAATAAAACTCAAACATGCTCAGCTATTCGCACCTATTACCTGAGAAAATAAAAATGTCTCAGGTGCTCTGGCCATCTTTGGAAATTTTTTTAAAAGGCTTATTAATAAGCTTGTCACTCAACTCCCAGAGAAAGTGGTTCTGGTTGAAGGAAAACAAAAGCAAATCAAATTTTTTTGGCAAGGTAACTTTTGAGTCAGCTGTTGTACTGCATCCTTCTGCTAGGGCTGCTTGAAGAAGTTTTATCAAGTCAGCAATCTAACAGAAAAAGAGCCCAGAATATTTTTTTAAATTGTTGTTGTTGTTTTCCCTTTAATGAATTGGTTCAGCAAAGGGTCCAGTGCACCCTGCCCACAGCCCAGTAAAGCGATGACATGCTGGGAATGTGCTGGAAACAGGGAAAGCAGGGAAGAAAATGGCAGCAAACTATAATCAACTCATTGGCGTCATCTATTCTCCACCTGAGTTCGGGAGGTTGTACGAGTGCCTGAGCTGACATGGCCAGAGGAGTAAACCAGGATCCAGAGGGGTGCTGGTGCTCTCAGAAGTGGACAAGGTTGATGACAAAGGGCCTGACCCTGCTCTGTGCTCTGTTCATAGGGAGCAGCTGCACTGGCAGCTGGGAAGATGTTCTGCCTGGAAGCAGAGCCACAGGGATCAGCAAGAACCAGATGGATCCCTACCTGACTGCAGCTCGTGGACTTGGAGAACCAAACCATAAATGACAAAAGCTGGCAGACAGCAATGGAGGCTAAAACCGGAAAGCATCCTCTTCGCTGCTGTGTAGCCTGGAGATGGGGAAGGAGAGGAAAAGGACAGAAAGGAGAAACAAGAGAATAAAAAAGAGGGCAAAATTCACTTTTAAAGGGAGTTATTGCTGATTGCAGCCCCTATTTATAATGTCTAAGGAAGAGCATCAGATGCCGGAAGTTGAAACTGATTTTCCATCACCGGCCTGACTTTGCTTTGTGCTTTACACACAAAGTACCTGATTGGTGTATACACTGTAGGAATTTCCCAGGGGGAAACAAGGGACAGCCAGCAACATCTCCTTTAATTCCATGAAAAAATGGCAGTTGTTTTAATGTAGAGCTTTTCTTACCCAGCTCTAAGAAAGAGATGGAAAGGCGCAGGATGAGAAGGAGAAACCCAGACAGAATGTATGTGGAGATGGGGCCACATGCTCCTCCTCCAGGACAAATCTGGGACCCGGTAGCACATCCCCTGCACCAAGGGCAGGAGGAGGTCTCAGACCAGCGAAGGAAAATAACCAGAATACTGACTCAACACCCAAGATGGGACCTGGCCCTGCTCTGAACCCCCCTGAACCCTCTTATCGGGTGCTCAGTCCCAGCTACATTACTGAGGGGTGAAACTGAGACCAGTTTTGGCAGATGGCAGGAAGCAACCTCCATCTGCAGGTTCCCACGAGACGCCACGTACCTGGAGGCCCCGATCTCTTTCTCGGGCTGGGCAGGAGCTGCTCGGCCGTCACCCCGTGCGTCTGGAGGGGGTGACGATCCGGGCTAAGCGTTTCCCTGTAAGCAAAGCAAACACACAACTGCATCCCAGCCTGCTGCTCGTTTCCTCCCGGGCTGCTTCCGCTCAAAAACGAAAGTTGCTGAGTGGTTTGGGGTTTTGTGGCAATGCTTTTGCTCTGGAGAGGCTCTCCCGAGCACGCTCACAGTGCAGCACGTCCCTGGCGCAGACACCCCCATGGCTGGGTGTCCCAGCCTCCTCCTGCAGCTCTCCCCGGGCGTGGGGGCGAGGGATGCTGGCAGCGGTTTGCACGTCCACGGGAAGAGCCTGGAGGCAGCAGTGGGAAAGAAGGAGGTGACAGAGCCAGGATTCACACCCAGAGACTGTGCAAGGCTGGGAGAAAAGCAGAGCACAACCCTAAAAATTGCTTAAAAACAATTCCACGCCCTGCCCCCACCCCCACCCCGGCCAAGAGGCGAGGCCGTCCGGGATGCGTCACTGGGCGCACAGCACCAGCACCCTCCTGTCCCCAGCCAGGAGCGTGGGGGCAGGTGGGAGGTGAGAGCATCTGCTCAGGTTTACCCACCTGATCAGGGACCTTGCCAAAAGGGACAACACGGAAAAGAGAGATGTGATAAATGAAGTGTACAGAAACACAGACCTGGCTAACAAATGATAGCAGAGATGCTTATCTTTATGATAACAGAGATACTTTACAATAAACCAAGCTCATCACTCATACTAATCGCTGCGCTATCACAAATCCACTGGCAACATTCACTGAGGGCCAGCCTGGCTTTTTGCCTGTAGGGATGCAAAGCTGCAGATCCTGAATACTGTGTGAGTGTGTGAACAGCTAAGGGCATGTACAGTGGGAGGGAATCAGGTACGACAAGGTGAGGGATGGGCAGAAAGGGCTATAAAAGGGCCTGGTCATGGGTAAACCAGAGCCAGTCGGAGCACTTGGCTGGCTGGTGAGTCCGTGTCCAGGTCTGGGCAGGGCTTTCGTGCAGGTGGAGGGTGCATGCTGGGGTCTGCAGGCCCCAGGACTGCGGGAAGCCTGTGGGATGAGTGTGTGAGTGCTGTGTGGTTGCGTTGAGCATCCAGCTGGACCAGCCAGCAAGTAGGGGACCCAGGGCGTCAGAGGGCCTGAGGTCCAGGCAGGTGTGCTGGGTGGACAGAGGGGCCATGAGGAGCTGCAAATGTGCACTTGAACCCAGAGAGTTGTATATGTGCTGCACTAGTGTCCTGCCTCTGCCAGCCCCGCAGGAGGAGGGGATGCAGCTGCCTGTGCTGGTGGGTGCTGTGGGTCCTGCTGGTGGGTGCTGTTGAAGGCAGACCCTTGCCTGTGGCAGGCGGAGAGCTAGGGGGTGTGTGAGAGGTCCATGTTTAACTGTCACTGGTGACTTGGCAGACAGGAGGTTCAGTGGCAGCCATACCCATGCCACCATGCAACAGTGGCCCTTGACTGAACAATCCCTGCCAAGCCAGTCTGTCCCCAGTCCTGCCTTCCTGGGCACCTGTCCCAGTGCCAGGCAGCGGAGTCATCTGGCAGCAGGTCCCCTTGCATTCTGCTTTATTTTGTGCACAACTGGTGGCTTTCAAAGTGATGTGACAAAGCAGAATGGGTGCCACCTCCCCAGATCCCTCCAGGTGGTGTGAAGCCATCACACCTGGGCACATGAAAAGCTGCCTGGAGAATAGAGAGGTGGGATGCAAAGCCCAGCACATGCTGTTCCCCATTTACCAGTTTAACAATCGAGGCAACACATGCCCTGTAAATATCTCCAACCTGAAACACCCATTGGCACCGTGACAAATCTGAGCAAGCAGCACCCGTGAGGAGCCAGCCCTCTTCCCTCATCACGATCCGCAGCTGGACTCCCAGAGCACGGCCACTGGTTGGTGGTTGGGGTCCACGGGTGACATCCATTGGAGTGGAGGTGCATGTTGTGCCGCTGACCCAGTGGGGCTCTGAGCATCCTGCTGCTGGAAGATACAACCTCTTCCAGTGGTGTGGCAGGCTCTTATCTCCCACTTGCAGCTGGCCAAAGGGAGGGGAGATGTGGTAGGTCCTGTGAGGCAAACAGGACAGAGGCACTGCAGGAACTTTGCAGGGAACTCCCACATGTGTGTTAGATGTGGTCACACGTCCACCGACAGCAGTCGCCAAGAGGAGGGGAAGTGGAAGATTCAGTGGTGAGGCCCCCACAGAGGAAAAGGTGCTGAATTTCCAGCTGTGTTCTCCAGGCCATCCGGCCCCTCTAGACTTTGATCTGCTCACTTGAACAAGCTGGGAATGTTGTGCAAGCCCAGTCCAGCCATGAGCTGATGAGGAGGTCAGGGGAGTAGAGAGCATACTGAAGACCTTCAGGCCCATCCAAAACATCCTTTCCTCGAGTCAGCCTGCAGGTGAGTGCTGGTTGCCTAAAAAGCACCTGAATGCTGTGACTTTTCCATCCTTCCTTCTGCTTATCATCCTTAGGCAGTCTCTGAGTCTTGCAATTTACACTGCCAACAGGGAATCCTGCCTCCCCTCCTCCTGATTTTCTGCAGACATCCTGGTATCCAGGATGGAGAGAGAAGAGAGGGAGACCCTGGCCAACGAGGCAGAGGAGATGAGTGGAAAAGGTGAGTTTTTAGAAGGGAAGAGGAGGGGGAACAGTCCTGTATTGAGAAAAATGCATCCTGCTTCTGCTGTCAAAGAGGCACCTAGCGTCAGAGCACCTGGGTCTTGTCCCAGCCTGGGCTTGTCACAGGGTTGAGGCTTGGTGGCTGCAACACCCTCAGCTGAATTCCTCCTGCTGTAGACCCACCACCAACACCAGACACCTGAGCTGCCATCCTTGGCTCCCTCCATCGCCCACAGAAAGAGGAGGGTAATGGCTGTCACACTGCTTTGTGCCCAGACCTGCCTGTTTCACTCTTCAGCATCAGCAACACCCAGGCTCAGGTACAGATGCCTGCACAGCAAATGCACATCCATCCATTCAGATGCATCCTTCTCCAGGAAACTGGGGTCTCCTTGGCCAGGGACCGCATGGAAGCACATGGATCAGGGGCAGGATCAGGGCAGCATTGAGGGTGGGGTAGCCCAGCACAATGGGCTACCCCCTCAGGGGGGGTAGCTACCCCCGCAGGGTACCCCACCTCAGGCTGGACATCACTGGGTTGGGGAAAGGAAATCACCCTGTCCCTTCTGCTGGGGTGGATGCAGCCCTGAGGCATCCCTGGGGTTGCCTGTCCTGAGCAGCTTCTCTTCCTCTGTCCTCAGCTGACATGACCCTGGACCCAGACACCGCCAACCCCTTCCTCATCCTGGCTGGTGACCAGAGAAGCGTGGGACGGGGGGATGAGTGGATCTCGCTGCCCAACAACGCTGAGCGGTTTGACAGGGAGCCGTGCGTGCTGAGCAGCCAGGGCTTTGACACAGGGAGGCACTGCTGGGAGGTGGAGGGGGCTGGTGGGGGGGATTGGTGGGCTGTGGGAGTGGCCCAGGAGTCTGTCAGGAGGAAGGGGGTCCTCAGTTTTAGCCCGCAGGAGGGGATCTGGGCTGTGGGGCAGTGGTTTGGACAATACCACGCTTTCACTGACCCTGACTGGACCCCCCTGCACCTTGTCTGCCTCCCCAGGGCCATCCAGGTCTGCCTGGACTTTACGGACAGGCAGGTGACATTTGCTGACGCTGAAAACAAAGCCCCAGTCTTTGCTTTCTGCCTGGCTTCATTTCCCAGGGAGAGGCTACGTCTGTGGCTCTGGGTGGGGGCGGACTCATGGTTCAGGCTGTGCCCCTGATGTGGAAGGACTGTGGGTGGCAGAGGGAAGAGTGGAAAAGTGAACACCATCATCTTGGTGCTGGGAACTGGGAGGGTCCTGCATCCTGCTGCCTTTTCCTCACACGGTACCTCTGGCCATCAAGTGGGAGGACTGACAGTTCTTGGAGATGGATGACACCAAAGAGCCTCCTTCATCCTCTCCACCGCACAGCTGGGGCTGCAGACTCAATGGAGAGCACAGAGATTTGGTGTGTGGAGGAGCTTGGTGCCTGGTGGTCCCAGGGCACAGAAATGACATCCAGTGCCAGGGCACTACAGAGCTGCTCTGTACAAGACCATGAAAAATACAGCAGGTTTGAACTCCTTAAAAGTGCTGGAGTAGTGTCTCTGCCTTTTTTCAATTAAGCTTAATGATTAAGTTAAAAAACCCAAACGCAGTTGGATGCTGGGGCTCATGATAACACTTATCTTCGCCATACATCCAAAGCCTCTCCTTGCCTTATTTCCAGTTCTCCCTGACATGTGCATTAAGCACATTTCTTACAGCAGAGCGCCAGTAAAAGCTATAGGGACAGCCAAGGAAGGTAAGCAAGAAGTTGAGAAGTGTCTGAAGTCCACAGGTGAGCCAATTCCAACAGATCTGCCATTCTCTGATCTTACCCATCAAGGTCTCCTTTTCCTCACATAGAATAGACTAGACTAGTTCACATGGAAGGGACCTAAAATGATCACCTAATCCAACCACTTCAGGGCTAATGAAAAGTTAAAGCATGTTATTAAGGACATTGTCCAAATGCCTCATAAAAGGCATGGAGCATCGACCACATCTCCAGGAAGCTTGTTCCAGTGTTTGACCACCCTCTCAGTAAATAAATGCTTCCTAATGTCCAGTCAGGACCTCCCTGGTGCAGCTTTGAGCCATTACCACGTGTCCTATCACTGGATCCCAGGGAGAAGGGATCAGCACCTCCCTCTCCACATCCCCTCCTCAGGAAGCTGCAGAGGGCAATGAGGTCACCCCTCAACCACCTTTTCTCCAAATGAGGCAAGCCCAGAGTGCTCAGACA